AGTTTCCGGCACAAAGCAACCCCAGCCAGGGGCAAAGAGGAGCTCCTCCAAGCAGCTCTGGGGGTTCCAGAACAGTCCCCCACACCTGGATCCTGAGGGTGGAAGAATCATCCGGGATAAATGAAACCTCTTTCAGCCAGAGGCACTGAAGGTAAAATCCCAAAGTCCCTTTAAGAAGGCAGAAGGAAGGTGTCCTCCCCCTACACCCTCCCCCCATTCAAACCACCGGTTCCCCATTTAAATTTCTTCAGCAGAGGCTTATCTCAGGCACCACCCACAAGGCGCATTCGCGCCCATTTGCTTCCTACCTCGAGTCCCAGCCCCAGAGAGCTCGGCCTCCGGGCGCCCCCACCTCCCACTGCCTTAGGGGACCCCCCTCCTGTCCCCGCCCGAGTTGCAATTAGCATTTTCCCCTCTCCCACTGCCATCTCTCAACTATTTACAGAAGCCAACAGGACAAAAAGAGACATAAAAATAGTTTCCCAGCAGCTTTCAGGATGGGAGGGTGGGGGCACCGCAGATTCTTGGAGTTTTCTTTCTCTCCTTTCCAAAAGGGGAAAATGCTGGACTCCTTTATCTTTTCCAAAGCACTCCCCAACAGTTCCCAGGCCCCCGACCCGTTCCCAGGGCAGAGTTTGTCACCAGCCCCCGAAAGTGTAGGTTCAGTGAAAACTCACCAGGGTTCCAGAGCCAGTGCCCGGCTCTGCCCTCTTTCCATCACCTCCCGGGCCTCCTTCCAGCCCTCCAAAAACATGAGCCAGTCAACAGCGCAAAACTTTGGCCTTTGTCTATGCTTAAAATGTTTCATAATTGAATGAAAAAATAAATCAGCAGCAACATTGCAAACAAACACGGCTGAAACCGAACACACTGGCGGCGAAAATCATTCCTTCCTCATTTGGGTCACTAGCATCACCCCGCAGGGAATGCCAGGCAGGGGGTGGGTCTTCCCTGCGAAGTCGCAGCACTCACTTCCTTTTAAATATGCCTTTTTCTTTTTTTTTTCCTTCTTCTTTTTGTTGAGGAAAGGATCCAATCAGGGAAGGAAAAAACACTCATTCAAACTCTTATTTTTCAGAGAGCAAAGCCACTCGGAATCTATTTCCACGCCTAACCTCCCGGAGGAGGTGGTGTCCCGTCCACCCCGTGAGAAAATGGGCACCCTTTGCCAGCACGAGGAGGCCAAGGCAGACCCCAGAGGCTGTCGGGAAACCACGCAGATCCCCGCGGACCTGAGCCTTGATTTTCTCATCTGTGAAATGGAGCTGGCACGGCCTACCCTGAGGGGAGCTGTCGAGTCAGTCTTCTATATGACAGTGCCCAGCACACAGCGTGGCTCACAGTCAAGGCTCCGGAAAGACCCCAGCTGTCAAACGGGAGGGACTGAGGGGCTGGTCTTTTCTGGGTTTCCTCCCGGCTCAGTTTTCAGGATGCTCAGCTGCTAAGTGGGCACCAGGAGAGACCGAGGTGACTCCACGGCTGGCCACAGGGTTAGGGCACGATCGACCAAAGGAACATCTGAAAGAGCGTTCGCCCCAAATCTTTCTTTACTTTGCGTATTTACCGACCTGGAAAAACCGTCACAGAATACACACCAGTGAAACCGCGTGGGGACCTACCATTACCAAATCCTGGTGACTGAATGAAACCAAGACACCCTGAAAATCACACTTGAGTAATACCCGGGCACTGCCCCGGGGTGATGGGCTTAGAGGGAGCTAGGATTCCTGCGGAGGAGCAGGTGGGGGTGAAGTTAAGGTAATCCTGAAAACCTGCACCCAGGAAGCTGGTCCCCAACTGATTTCAGAGACTCTTTCTCCCATCGCCCTCTCCCTGCAAATGGAGTGACACCATAATGTCCCGCGCCCAGAGACTTATTCATTGGGGGCTGCGACAGCAGAGAGATAAAGTGGCCTTAAGAAGCCCGAGCATCCATCCACAGGTGAATGGAGGAACAAAATGTGGTCTGCCCACACGAAGGAGCATTACTCAGCCGTAAAAAAGGCAGCGCAGGTTTATTCTACAGCATGAATGAACCTTGACAATATTATGCTCCGTGAAAGAAGCCAGACACAAAAGGTCCCATATTATTAACAGGTCCGTGGGGTAAGAAAGCACAGCCTGAAAGAAAAGTCCATTCTGAAGGAAGTTTTCTCAGCTTCCAGGGAAAAAGGCACAGAAATGCAGGCAAAGAGCACTGCAGGCCACGGAGCCAGGCCTGTCTAACCGGGTCCAAAGAGAGGAGCTATTGGGAAATCGAAACATCTGCGATAAATAGCAATACCGGGCCCTCTGACCCAAAGGGAAACCTGAAGGAGCGTTTGCCCCAAAGCTCCAGGATCGGGAAAGGAAATGGGAACCATAGGCTACCCGCAGCCACAAGAAGGCGTGCCAGGGAGGAGGTCGCCAGTGCCCCCGAACAAGTGACTGAGCTTCTCTGAGCCCTTCCATAAAATGGGTTCATGGTGGAGTAAGGGGAACTCTGTCTTCCAAGTTAAAATCTGAGTCCAAATGCTATGAAAATAGGCT